GGGGGGGGGGGGTGGAACGTGCAACTGTGCTGAGGATGGCAAGGGGCAAAATGGGTGGGCAAGGGGCAAAAGAGGGGGGCACAGGTGAGATGGGGGTCTGGTGCAGCCAAACAGCTTGGGGAGGGGAGCTGCAGGGGGAGGAGGAGGAGGAGGATGAAGGCCCAGGGTGGGGATGATCGTGGTGGTGGTGATGGTGATGATGATGGTGGTGGTGGTCATAGTGGTCATGATGATGGTGGTGATAATGATGATGGTGGTTTATTTATCTCCCCCCTCTCAGACCTACAACACCAACGCGCAGGTGCCCGACAGCGCGGGCACAGCCACCGCCTACCTCTGCGGCGTCAAAGCCAACGAGGGGACGGTGGGTGTCAGCGCCGGCGTCACCCGCGACCGCTGCAACACCACCAAGGGCCAGGAGGTGACCTCCATCCTCCGCTGGGCCAAAGATGGAGGTGAGGGGCTGGTAGACGCCGGAGGTGGAGGTACAAAGCTATGGGTTTTGGGGTTGTTCCCACCATTGTCCCCTGAATTCGTGGTGCAGGCAAGGCGGTGGGCATCGTCACCACCACGCGGGTGACCCACGCGACACCCAGTGCTGCCTACGCCCACTCCGCCAACCGTGACTGGTACTCGGATGGAGAGATGCCCCCGGATGCGCTGGAGGGTGGCTGCAAGGACATCGCCCGGCAGCTGGTGGAGAACATCCCTGACATCGAGGTAGGGATGGGGATGAGGCCACTAGGGACATCGGCTGGAGCCACCCAGAGATGGGCCCACCAGGAATATGGGCTGGAGCTGGCCAGGGGTGGGAACGGGACCACGCAGGGGTGTGGGTTGGAGCCACTCAGGGATGGGGACAGGGCCGTGGGTAGGTGGAACACCAGGAACACCAATGGGTGAAGGACTGGGACCCCCAGTAGATGTTGGGCTGGAACAAGCAGTGGGTGAAGAGCCAGCACCAAAGGGTGCAGGACCAGGACTGTGGGTAGATATGGGGCCAGGACCACCAACGGGTGTAGAGTTGGGACCCCCAGAAGATGTTGGACCAGGACCACCCATGGGTGCAGAGCCAGAACCCCCAGCAGAGATGGGACCGGGACCACCCATGGGTGGGGTACCAGGACACGGGGTGCATGTGGGACCAGGACCTCTAGTGGACCACCAGACGCAGGGCTGGGACCACGAGCACACAGAGAACCCCAAATCAATCCTGCTTAACCCCCCTCCACCCACATCCACAGCCGCCCCCTCCTTTCTCATACTTCCCATACCCCAAACCCTCCATTTTCCCCCCGATTCTGCCCCTCGCTGCGGATTTACGCAGAAATTCAGCCCTGTAAATAAATACTCTTCTGTCCTTCAAAATAGCCCCAAAGCAAAACATTTCAGCCTGTTATTTAGCTCTTTAATAGCCTCTTCTTCTGTTTTTTTTCCCTTTAATATAATTTTAACTCTGTCCCAGGCTGGAAATAATTATATAGCGGGGAAAAGACATTTTTTTCCCTTTTTTTTCGCTTAATAATTTTGGCGGTGGTGTTTTGCAGCTTTATAATTCACCTTCTGCGCGGAGAAAGGAGGGGGAATAAAAAAATCTGTGCTTGGTTATAAATAACAGAGGCCAAATAAATCGGACTCCAAAGCAAACAGCGAGAGCCGCGGGATGGGGCTCCGTCCTGGCGGGTTCATGTGGGGACCCCGATGTGGAGCATCCCTCCCACAGATGGGGGGGGAAGCCAGATTTGCTGCTGGAAATGGTTATTTTTGTCCTGGGGTTTAATTAATAGGAAGAGCTTCAGGGATATTTTGAGTGAGGTGAAATTCCTTGGGGTTTTTTGCCTGTTTTTTCACAGTAACAGGGTTTCCCTGGACATCCCGCTGCTCCCCATCGGGCTTTTCTCCCTGAATTGGGGGGCAAAAATTTAAAATAATTAAAAATAATTTTTTAAAATGCATTCTTTGCCCCACTTTCACAGGTGATCTTGGGCGGTGGGCGTAAATATATGTTCCCCAAAAATGCCAGCGACGTGGAGTATCCCCACGAGGACAAGCATCGGGGCACCCGCCTGGACCGCAGGGACCTCGTCCAGGCGTGGCATGACGTCAAGCCCCCTGGCAAGGTGACAGGGACATTTTTGGGGGTACATGCATGTCACCCCACTATAACCTTAAGAAGCCATTCTCAGGGAGAGGAAATATTTTGGTGAAGGGGGTATAAAGCAGCCCTGGGGTTGGCAGAGGCGATAGGGAGGTGACAACCCTCTTATCCCCTGTCCCCAGGTTGCCAAGTACGTGTGGCACCGGCGGGACCTGCTGGCGCTGAACCTCAGCCGTGTCGACTTCCTCCTGGGTGAGTCCCAGCACCCAGGGGTGCCCTGGCCTCAACTGGGTGCTTTGGGGGAACCCCTGGTCTGTCCCAGGGTGCTGGGGCAACTGCTGTGACTGGTTGTCCCCCTCAAACAATGCTGGTACACCCCTCCCAAGGATGCTGGTGCACCCCAAAAGATGCTGCTACTCTCTTGGGGATGCTGGTACCCCCCAAAGATGCTGGTAGCCACCCTGGGGATGCTCGTGCACCCCCAAGGGATGCAGGTAGCCACTCTGGGGATGCTGCTACTCCCCCGCCCCAAGGATGCTGCTACCTCCAAGGGATGCTTCTACCCTGCCCTGGGGATACATTTTTTTTTTTTTTT